GGCCAGCAGGCTCTGCTCCGGGGAAAGAGACTGCAGGGGCGGTTTTGAAACTGGATTTGGTTGGACAGCTGGGAAAAGAAGCCAGCTGGCCAACAGCAAGGATTAGGGCTGGCGAGGGGAAGGAGAAGTGGCAGGGAGGAGAATAGGTGAGGATACAGCACCACTTTAGAGCAGGATACAACCGAAGAACCATCCGTCATCAGATACAGCCTTAGCAAGGAAGAAGAAGGCTCCATGGAGAGATCTGAAAACAGCAGGCAAGTAAAAACTAAAACCCCAAACAAGCAGTAAACATCACATATAATTGCTGGGATGTAAAATAGGAAGGGGAGGCCCTCCTCTTTCAGCGGAAACCATAAAAGGCAAGGAGAAGGAGATGGCGGCAATCAGAAAGGGTAAGGGGAGGAGTTGGTGGTACTCAGAAAAGGCAAGGAGGCAGGGGAAGGGGCAGTAAATCTAGCCCCATGCTTCAGCCGGCCGGTCCAGCCTCCCTGCTGGACCAGCAACTCCTAGCTGAACCGGTTTGGATCGGTTCATTCCTAAGCCCCCGCGTCACTATAATATACGTTGAAGGACTAATGTAAGCAATGTTAAGAAAATGGAGTGGAGCGAATTCTCCTACATTTCTTCATGCTCACACAATGAATCATATTGCAAGCATTTATCATCTTCTTTCATCTAAGGGCTTCTTAGTTTCCCAGCAATCTTTTCTCCGAGTTAGATTTGCTGAGATACATAAAACGGCTATCTCTTGAGGACCTTAAAGATCAATGTGGATCTAATTGAACAAACCAATGATCATTCCGCTCTATAACTTTTTCAAGAGGTTGTTAGATGGTACATGTAAATTCTTACAACATTGAATAAGTACATCTAGTTTCTTATTCAAACTTAATCTGAAAACAGAAAACAGAATTTCTGTTAAAAAATGTTTTCGATTTATTGGATGAAAGGATAGTTTTATACACCTTTTAAAAATATTGAACTTCAATGATTACATGAGTTCGCTCGAGTATTTCTAATGGATTTTGAAGTGTCTCATGTGCGATCAAGTTGTTTATGGCAATATGGCAGCTGCAAGATAGGAAATTGACCAGATAGTCACAATGCTAGAAACTAGACACGAGCATAATTTTAAAGTTATAACAGAGTACTTCTATATTGCTTTCTCACAAATGGTATTACTTCAAAAAACTAACAGATAAATTGATACAGTGATGCTAGCAAAAAACATTTGTAAATGATATATTTTATTAAGTTGCAAAACAATACAAATAAAGTTAAAGCATGAATACTTACTTTCACCGTCTCGAGAGATGCTCCTTAGAGAAAATGCCAGCTGGAAAGCTCGGGCTAGAGTCAGATGACCAGATGACTGTTTAAAAATAATCCAACAGTTGAAAAAATTAGCCAATGATTCGTATCACTAGATTTATCCCTTATGGATGAATTGTAAACAAAGATGATATATTTAAATGGTGCAAGGTTCGATTTCCCATAATAAACCAAGAGTTGAACATAGGAAAATTGAAAAAGTAGCTTATAGTGGATAATAATGCTCAAGAGAGTCATAACAAGATCGTAAGCTACATTTAGTGGGAGGAAATTGCACATCGACTGTGAATGCTCCTAAAACGGAACTACTCTGCTTCTTCTAGATAAATGCAGAAGCAGCTCAAGAGATGCTAATCCGATTGACAGCTTTATAGGTGATATCCCGGACCACATGGCCAACAGGCGATAGAATCTTAAACCAATAGAATTTAACAGCTTAAAATGAACGCTATTTTTACCATGGTAAATCAATACAGATTAACTTTTAGTATCTAAAGACTAAAGTGTAGAAAACTTCAGTAAAATATTGATGATAATACCAAAAAAATGATGATGATAATGGAACCAGTGAGGTGGCTTATAATCCAATGAGAAAAACGAAGAAGATTAATACAAGCCACAAAAAAAGGTGATTGGCATGTATCGAATTTAAAATAATTTCAATCATGCATATGCACCAATCATTATGCAGTTTAGAAGGGACAAGAAAAAAAAATCACCAATAGGAAAGATTAAAGAACCATTCCCAAAAACTTTTCAAAACTTCTAAAGTGCTTTATGAATTCACATCCAATACACACAAGTAGTGGAAAATAAAAATATTCCACTATTCCATGTTTTCTACATGCCTCAACACTCCAATCTAAAACCAAGAAGACCCAAAATAAGTAATTCTTCAAAATTCGCTAAGATTTAGCCTAATACTCCAAGTTTCAATTTAGCCAGTTCAATTGCAACAAGAAAAAATTGCAACAAGAAGAATAAGTTTTCAATTTTAGTTTTAGGAAAATAGTAAATTTCAACTTAAAAATTCCTGCTCCAGAAATTTCTAATTTTCCAACTACAGTTGAATGCTAAGAAAGGAAATAGAATATTTGTCAATTGTGAATAGCACGCCAAAATGCAAAGTTTTGTAGAGTTATATCTTATAGTGCATGGCATAATGTATACTATTTTAAAACGTAGACAAAATATTAAAAAAATTATGAAAATTAGGTTGAACCCAATCAGATACAACGAAATATAGCATAAAGCAAGTAAAAAAATTGAATCTAATAAAACCAAAAGACAAAAGAGTAAACACGCAAGCAAAGATGAAGTCAAAGCTCGGTGGCTTTTAGAAGAAACGTGCAAAGTCGGCTAAAAGAAGCTTTTTCTTCAAGGTTTGGAAGAGTGAATTGTCAAATTTCAAAGATGAAGAAAGGCTCGTCACGTCATATAGTTTACCTTGGTCTGCTACGCGAGAGATTCATAGTTGCCCTCCTCATCTATGTTTAGTGTAGACAAAAAAAGAGCTTATAAGACTAATGTTCATTCGTTTTGCATGAAATTCCATCTTCACCCTCCGGCTCGCTTGCTATGCTTTATTATGTAAGAGATTTTTGCTCACCCCTCACGACTATTTCTAAGCATGCATAAGAGATCAATTTCAGGAGGGAGGATCAATGCAAGGGAGACAAAAACCATAGCTAAAAAGTAAAATAATATTAGCAATTAAATAATAAAATTAAATATTATATATTTAATTAAATCCTAATGCAAAGAAATTAAATTGCACGTGCTACAAGGCCTACCATGCACTATAATGCATCCACTGTACATATAACATATGTTATATTGATTATTCTGTAATAATTGATAAATAAGGAAATAAATAAAGATTACAATGTTATTATTATCAAAAAATTCAACAAATGCAGTTGTTTCGGGGGAGAACAAAACGTCTCAATAGTTTTGTTTTAAAGAGGTGTCTCATTCGAAGTGATCAAACAAAGAGAATGAAACGGGAGGCAAAGAAGCAGGGCAAAAGAAAAGGAAGGAAGAAGAAGCCTGTCGAACGACTCTGCATACAAGAAAATCTCGTACCCTAGTCGAATAGAGGAGGAAGATCAAAGCTGAGCTGAAGGAGGAATCGAGCAATCCCGATATGTGCAAACAAGGATATCAGCAAGCTGAAGCGTGACGGAGGAAGAAGAGGACAAAAAGCTCTCTCATGTTGAGAAAGGTGGAGACCCGGTCCACTACATTTTAGGCAGTAATTAAAATTGTTAATTACTTTCCTAACTAAAGCTTCCCGCCTCTTCCTCCCATCTTCCCCCCTCAGTCTCTTGGCAGATAAGGCAACTGCCTTATGGAGTGAATCAAGGAATTAATCAATTCTTTTATTTGATGTGAGGGAGGGTCCCACCACCTTGATTGCTGAAGAGAAAAGAAAACATTTCTTGCTATGGATCCCGCCCTTCCTCTGCTAAGATTCACGAATTAAAACCTTCCTTAATTGGGCCTTGCGTTGGATAGTTAAAAAGGCATGTTGGGAGTACCACGAAGGAGCCCTCTTCTCCTCTTTGCGTGTGGTTTTTGTTCTTCGGTGTGAAGCTTATGGGAAGAGCAAAATCAAAGGCTACGGCTCCTCTTATTTTACTCGTCGGATGTAGATCTCTCGGGTAGAGAGATAAAGAACGTGGAGAGGTAGAGAGAGAGAGAGGAGAGTTTTTTCTTATAAGTCGACGTGATCGACGATAAAATCCTCAAGCTAATAAAATCCTTTGCAACTCCGTGGGCGTAAACAATTTGCTGAACAACATAAATCTATGTGTTCTGCTGTGTTTTCTGTTTTGTGAATTTCTCGTTCCAATTTCTTCGCTTTATTATCGTTATTTTTTACAACAATTGGTATCACAGCTTTGATTCGGATCTGAGGAAAACGATGACTGGAGATGAAGTGGTGGCATCAGGGATCGCGAAGTTTCATAACACAAATTTTGGTTACTGGAAGATGCAAATAGAGAACTACCTCTATGAGAAGAAACATTGTCTTCCGTTATTTGGAAAACAACCAGAGAAGATAGATGAAGTTGATTGGAATCTGTTGGATCGACATGTTCTGGGATTTTTCGATTAACCATGTCGAGATCCGTTGCCCACAACGTCATCAAGGAAATGACTACTGCAAAACTCATGGTGACTTTATCAGGTATGTATGAAAAGTCAT